GATTGAGTAATGCGATTGACATTTCTACCCGGACTTGGCAGTCCATGAATTTCCGCATAGTTTTCGAGAAAATTCTTTACGGTAGTAGCAACGTTTATATCAATGGTTATTTTGGTTTTCCATCGTGGCATTCGTTTGATGTTACCATGAACGCGCGGTATGATACCATTCGTTGCTAGATGGTTTCTGACATTTTCAAAGTAATTGCGGCCAATACCAAGCATATTAAGGTAGGTTTTTTGACAAATAGGGGTATTACGATTTCAGCAGTAGATAGTTCTCTTGTTGACGCGAGTCTTGTTCTTGAGACGTCGACTAGTACTGATCGCTCCTCCATCCATAGATCTGAGTTGGGCCATTAAGAAAATGTCTTGTTCGGGTTTTGTTAGCGCTTGAAAGTCTTCTCGCAGTTCAGCAAATCCTTCTTTAGGTAGCCTAGTCGAGCAACCGCAACCGCATCCCACTTCCAAGAACTGGAGAGCTCTCTCGTATTCGTTCATAATTATGTCGTCTACCATATATATATATATATATATTTTATATATATTACGCACAGTTTGTCTGATTTTGTAAAATTTTGATAATATCGTGTACTTATTGCGTATTATACATAGGGGTATCCGCATATAAAAAGTAAATATATGAAACTTATCTACATTAGATCTACCATGGAACCAAAAGATTATAGCACTTTACGCTCTCTTTTAAAGCAAGAGCAAGGCGAAAAAATTGCGCCATATATTTTTAAAATATCTGACAGCAAAACTATTAAACAATATTTAGACAAGGAGGGAATTGTCTATGAAATTTACCAGAGGAAAGATCAGCAAATGTTCTTAAGCGGACGTTGACGGAACCATTTCAGAAGCCAAGGAAAAAAAAGAAAAATAGAGAAATAAGATGGTCGTTATAGGGAGGGATAATCCTATATGCTTATGCCATAGCTTATGCATAAAATTTATTCGAGATATAGTGCTAATGCTATAAGTCATGTTTGGTAACTATAGAAGCGGAGGTTAGTGGTGAGAGGTTATGAGTTTTTTCATTGAAATTTTACTTCTTTGCTCTCGATGACTTTACCAGTTCGTTTTATGATGCTATTGTGATACTATGTAATGCCTACCCTAAAAAGTTGCACAAAGCAAAAAAAAAACCTAAAACCGGAAATAAAATACCCGACTTTCAAAACCCTAATACTAAGGCTTTTATATTAGAGGATTTAGAGAAAAATTAATCCGTAAGAATGATAGAGCAGCCGAAGTAGAATAAAAGTTACGGTTTAAAATTTTAATTAACTAAAAAAGTTTCGAGTTTTAGGCATTTGAAAAGCAACAGTTTTCTTAAGTTTTTCTTAAGTTTCTCAAGAAAAAAATGAAAATTTCGGACGTCCAAGTTTGTGCAGCTATTTGTGTAACATTCCATTATCCAATAAGTGAAAGTTTAGCATTATTGTTTTCGTAACATTCTTTATTGTTTTAATATGCCTCGACCAAAAAGAAAAGCCGCACATAAACAAGTGTCTCGAGATAAGAGAGGCAAGTTTATTAAAGAATATGCCGCTAGAAAATATAAATCGCAAAGAATCCCAGAAAATGCATGGGAGGAAATTAGTTCGATCAATTTTCTTAAATGCATTATATAAGTATGTATGTGCTGTTCAATCTGCAACATTAATTCCGAGCCGAGTTCAATATTAAAGTTTTGTTCTTACACAGAGATGATTTTGACCCGGAGTTTAAAATATCACAGACAAAAGTGTTATAATTGTCAAAATAAAGCGAAATTTTTAAAGAATTTATTGGACAAATGTCATGTGATTGATAAGTGATCTGCAGAACAAAATTTCCACTGTTCCGTCTTTAGGTGTCCTGCACCATAGCACAAACCAACCAAAATTCCTACCACTAGCCCTAGCATGAATATCAAGCTAAACGATGGAGTGGCCAACGCCTGCTCGTGTACCCAAACAAAAAAAGCGGCAAACGCCCTTGACCTTTGGAACGATTATGCCTACACAACAGCGACTGTGGATCTACATTGAAGGGACACGTCGTGCTACGAAGGTTCCTGATGAGTTGTTATCGTGCTCCGACTTGGATCTTCTCGCGCTCAAGCTCTGTCAAACGTTCACCGCGCTCAAAAACACCGATCCGCTGCAACTCGAATTCCTTTTCGATGGGCGATCTCTTCCTGGAGACACCGAGCTTTTGAAACTCATCACGACTGCCAAGGCACCCCTCGTCATTCGCTATCCGTTGTCAGACCGCACGCTCCGTTTACGCATCAATCTGGCACAGAAGTGGTTCAAAATGGACTTCCCGCACGAAACCGGGCTTTGGGACACCATAAACAAAGAAATTTCTGATAGGTGGTCTAGCATTATTGGAGCTAGCAGGATCTACCTCACTGAAAACGTCAAATTGGCGAGCGACAAAGTGGAAATTATTAATGATTCTGGGCTTCTCGCGTATCTCAAAACAAATGATGGAAAAAACGAATTCAGTTTCTCCGTCCAAATGAGAGGTTAGTGGATTGATTAGAGTGATCTATTGTGCAGAGTCATTTATTCTTTTTCATTGCGTTAGATAAAAAGCCATTTAGTGACTGGAGTTGGGTGGATATTCAAGGGCTTATGAAGGTTGGATGGTCATCTTACACCGATGCACCTGATATGTCGTTGGGTAAGTATTTTTCGTTACAAGTAGACTTCGCGATTACAATGTTTATGGCTTTATCTCATTTTCCCAAAGACGAACTCCCACAAGTAGATTTGAGTACTCAGGAGATTAAGTTAATGCTTGATGAACTCAAGAAAAACAAGGCCGCATTCAAACATGTCATGAGAAATGAAATGACCTGCAGAGAATTTATATCTCCCTTTCTAACTGCAGCCGTCAGACATCTTCAAAGTGAAGAAGGAAACCTTCAACTTAATGCTGAAGACGAACTTAATGGAACTCGTGCCTATGGTTCTGTGGATTATACGATCTTATCAGAAGGGTTAATCGTTTGTGTCACAGTGGTGAAAAAGGAAGAAACTTTTGAGAAGGGGATGGCGCAGAATATAGCACAAATGCATACTGCCGTGGAGGTAAGTTATCCGTTAGATTATAGTATTCTACATATGACTGACAGTTTGATTCTTAGAAACTAGGAAAACGCAAGGCAGATGTGTTGGGTCCACTTTTAGAATCGGAATCGGAGTCGCTATCATCAATGGCGCAAGATGAAGTGCCAATTCTTATGTACGGTATTGTATCCAATGCATCAAGATGGCGGTTCCTTCAATGGGCGGGACCTGAAGCGGATCCTACCTTGCAAATCTCTACCGAGTTTACGTGTAAATTCGATGACCCAAATGTCGATGGAGCAGAGCAGATGCTGAAGCACATCGCATCCATTATCAAGAGTCAAATTGGTGTTGTTAAAGATCCTACCAAATCCAGACGCGTTAAGAGATTCAAACGCCAATGATTCTTGTAGTGAGTATCAAATCTTTGCGGTCGGACTGAATCGATGAAGTCTTATTCCATTACGGGCATCGATCTATTGTAGACTTCGCACTATGTGACTATCGTTCATTCTATAATTGCGGCATTAAACAATTGACCTTTTGCGTTTCAAAATATAACATAACAATCGCACTGATAATTACAATGAGATCGGATACCGAAATTCTATTCAATCTTGCTAGTGGGCATGTTAAGCTTAGTCAAGGCATTTTCTAGTCCCCAAATCTGAGAGTTACCCAAACGGTTCAGAATAATCGCGCCGAGAATTATACTATTAAGAATCGGAATATTCCGGACGATCTAAGCTATTGGTATAAACTAAAACCATTATCACTAAGCCTACCAATAGAATCGGTTACCGAAATCTGGTGAGTTCACAAATAAATCCAGCGCTCACTCTATAACTTTGAAAGTTTGATATCAGAATCCGAGTGGTACCGATTGTTCACTTTGTCTGGTTTTGTTGCAGCACTCCTCATATAAATAACAGTTGTTGATGAGAGTTGAATTTTGGTTATTACAACAAAGATAGATATTGACAAGCATTTGATCACATGGTTCTCACTAATACTAATGCTATTAAATAATTAACTATAATGCATATTTGGATATGAAGATTTGGCATTCTGATCCACTGTGTTGTTGTGATATGTTCAAAAATCCACGATAATTGTTATACTAATATGCGTTACTATAATTGCAAATGATTGGTGACATGCTAATCATGTGAACGCAGTAATTTCGATTTACCACCGACTGCTCAAACCCCCAAACTCCACCCAAAAAACCAAAAAAATGATTATCCCTGTCCGTTGCTTCTCTTGCGGAAAACTCATTGGCAACAAATGGGAGTTGTACCAACAGCTTCTCTCTAACGACTATACCGAATGGTACGTGTGTATTTATGTTCTCTTTACTTTTGTAAACTTACATGTAACTAATTCTTTGATCCAATTCTCTCTCATATATGTGTAGTGATGCTATGGACGTGGTGGGTTTAAAGCGATATTGCTGTAGACGCATGATGCTCACACACTCGGATCTTATTGAGAAATTGTTACAGTATAACCGTAAGTTCTTTTTCATACCTGATTCAATATGCTTGCCTGTTCGAATTCACTCTCGCTTTTCGTACGAATGAAACACTAACGATCTTGAGTGGTTTTCTGGAGGACAGCACAAGAAAGAGCGCGCGAACAGTATAGAGCTCAATTCCGCCGTCTTAATTAGAAAGGCTCGTGGAATTGTCTTCATTTCTATCCAACAAAACAAGCGAATGAGGATCCTGGGCTGCAAACAGCACATGAACCGATACAATTTCCCCCCCAACAAGAATCTCTGTCAAATGGTTTCTCTTGGAAATAGGATCTTTCTCATTTTTACAATACCAACGCTACCTTTAACAATTTACAATCAATGTCTGGTTCTTAACGATGTTTTCTATGTTGACAATTCGATAACTTGCACACTAAAACTTATCCTTTAACAAAACGAAACTCTATAAACATTTCAATTCTATTTAATGTTTCACGCTTCTCTATATATCAAACCATTTCAAAGACAGTTCTCTCTCGATTATCACACATCCGATTCTGCCTTATTCCGTTGAATTTTCACTTGGTCCCTCTTGAAAATTCAACGATAGCATACTTGCCAGAATATAGCCAATCATCCTCAACAGCGTATAGCCTCTCTGCTGTCCCTTTTGGTAGCCCGACAATGACATCTGCCTTAGAAGTCCTCAATGTTACAACAGATGGCACACCTTCTTCGGTTGCCATCGGCCCTATTGCTTCCTCGAATGGTGTAGTGAAATCCCACTTGCAATCATAAACCAACTTTCTAAAATTTAAATCACCTTTAAACACTACACTAGCTGCCTGCTTAATGTCATCAAACAACTCTTTCTGTTCTGGTAAATGCCAATATGCATATGGCGAAACCCAGAAATAGTCCGCTTTTACTATCCATATGTTAGAGTCTACATATCCTTGCCAGCGTTGGGCTAATTTAGTGATAAGAGACTGAGAAGGCTGGTTGAGAAGGTTCGATGTAAGAGCAGAAAGAAGATTATAAAAGTCTGTGGGTGTGGTGTCAGAAACGAACCAAGGAATCGGCTTTGCGTGAAAGTGAACTGAAGATGCATAGCCTGATTGGATAAGCCAGTCGGCAAATATCAAGTCAGCGTAAAGTTCAAAGCCTGCAAATATTTTGGACAAGTAGCGAGTTCGGCATAATAATTAGTCGCTTTCGATTTCACAAACTCGATAAAAAAAAACTCGTATAAATAGATAACAAACGAATTCCTCACCGGCATTATCCAACACGAAATCTATTCTTGATCCTTTCGAATCTTTAATTCTGTGCCAAAACAAATCTATATCATTCCGTAAAATATTCTTCTCGATTTTTTCCAATTCCTCTGCTCCAGTACTCTGCAATTTACCCAATTCACGCGGATCTAAAGTAGAGAGCAAGCTCAAATCACTCGCATTTCCCCAGAGAGATATCTGGACTAATTCATGAAAGACTATTCGGTGATCCAGACGCAATCCCTCTGAAGAAATTAGTTCGTCGATTCTCTCGGCAAGAGCAAGCATCGCAACTTGAGAAGCTTTGAATGCAGCTTCTTTTTGTTGACAGAAAGGATCATATGTATTCCAGTAGGTCGAGCGAGCAAAGTAGGTATAAATGCGTCGGTAGAGATAGCATTCGGTAAAGAGCCACGGTGCAGTATACCAGGTAGAGCTCGAGAAATAGGTGTTGTAGATATTGTTCCATGTGGCAATATCTGGATTCGAGTCGTCGGCTATTGGGCTAGTAAAGAAAATATGTAATGAAGAGATGATTAATCGTCCCCTAATAGGTTTCCCCGCGACTAATTAAACGAGAGAGTAACTCACGTAAGGGGCTTGTCTCTTTCCATTCCATACTTTAAAGCGCCAATAGATGATATAATGGCCTTCCCCTCTGTCCGTTTCTCGTCATCATCTAAAGCATGACAGACTTGAAACAAAGCATCGATTATTTTTGTAACTATTACCGGCCATCGAATACGTGTTGTCGTATAGGCAAAACCCGTTTTATCTGTCGCAATCAAAGCAGGGCGTGGTGGGTTTGCAGGATTGATTGATGACATGACTTGTAGCAGAAGATAATCAGATTGAAAGTCACCTGCTATCGGAATTTATAGCACGTGCTTCAAGAAAATCATGTGTTGCTATTTTAAAACACGTAAAAATCCACCACGCTATAGTTTTTGGATGGATCAGGTAATTGGAAGAAGAGGAGGAAGCAGGCGAGTATTTCCTGATGAGAGTGCTTAACATAAATGCTAGTTGAAAAGATTGGGACAATTTTTATGCATTTTAACAAATATATTTGGCGAAAAACGAATTTTAATAAAAATCGAATTGCTTTGACAAAATCCTTGTTCATAATTATGTTAATCTTCTAAAATACTTCCCAACCCACTACCAATTGTCCATCGTTTTCACTCATTCCATGCACGCTCCCATCACCAAAAGTCCTTCCATATCTTTTCTCTTTAACTATTTATCACAACGGAGTCCTCCCTTGAGGCTCTGCAAATGTTTGCTTCGAGAAACATTCCTGAAGCCTGTTCTGTAATACTGCTACATCGCCTGGAACTAGCTTTTTCAATTGTTTTAATTCTTCCGTATCTTCAACGTAGTACCTGCGATAGATTGTATTCAGAATTTTCAAGCCATCCCGTTGGAAGGCTTCATAGAATCTGTGTGCAACGACCTTGGAGAGAGAAGAAAAAAAGGTTGAAAGAATAAGAATAATCAAAGGTTTTTCGCTCTGAAATATAGAAAAAACGACCATTCAGGTTTGCACAGAACGAAAAAGAAAGTATGATATTACTTCTATGAAAACATCAAGGATTGCCGGGGTTATCGACCGTTGTTTCAAATTCAAAATTTCTGCAATCCATATCCATGCTTCCTCAATTAATTTTTGGTACGGAATGTCTGTCGTGTTGTATGTATTTAGGATTGAATGTGAATACGAAATGAACATGAAAAAGCTCAATATACCAAACTTACTAGGAATCCAGGGCTTAGTCTGTAAGACAGCAAGATGGAATCTGACGTATGCCAACATTCGCTTTCGGTAAACTTCTTCGGTTTCGTTTGATTGCCTTCCAATCAACTTGTCGTATTCGTCTGCACTCTGGCCCTGTTATGGTCTCAACATATTAGTTATCTGTCGCGCCTTCCATTCTAAAGACTGTTCACTTCTCAATATGATTTCTTTTCTAAATATCACTTTGATGAATATGATCATACAATCGACTCTGTCCATACCGAAGGATGAAGTGTGTAGCACATTATTACCCAATGTGGTAATACCGGTACATGATATGATCGGTACAGACAAAAGCGACCGCAACTGTTTTAACCCATCTTACCTGTGATCTGTCATAGTATCTCGGAAGTACGTAAGGGCATTTCTTTGCCAGACGAGCATCTACGAATTTCCTAAACTCGGCATACTTTGAGTACAAAAGAATGCACAAGTGACCGAAAGCAAAAGCCATCTCCGGTCTATCGAGGACTGTTATGCCGATTTGATCCTTAAAGTGTAACAAGGTTGATTAGAGAATATCGGAAGAAAATTCAACACTCTTTTTCGCCGCTTCAACGCGAAATGTGCGTAAGACAATGTCAGAAATTTGAAGACATCTACGTACGACAATTGTCTTGGCCAACATGTTGAGCCTGTAATAATGCTGCTCTGTGGACATGCCCGCTCCAGTAAGTTGGGCAGAAAGCTCGTTTGCCTAGATGGTACACAATCGTTCAGCACATTCGATGACAAGATGTACATGAATTAAAACTTTCATAACATACCGTCGTCATAATATGATCCTTTTTATTCGTCAACTGGTTCAACCGCAATGTGAAATGCTGTTTTATTGTGGATCTCTCGGCATTCAGTTTAGGATCATTTTTCAAATCATTTTTACATTTTTTTATAAAATCTTTGTATTCCTTTTCTTTCTTTAACACTTCTTCTGACACAGAGGCTTCTGCCTGTTTCTGTTGTTGTTGCTGTAATTGTTCCATTTTCAACTGCAATGCCTTCTGCTTTGCTTCAGCTTCCTTTCTTGCTGCTTCCGCAGCTCGCTTTTTCTCCTCTTCGGCCTTTCTACGGATTTCAGCCGCGGCCGCAGCCGCTTTTTTAGCCTCCTCTTCGCGACGAGCATGCTCGGCTGCTTCCCGCGCAGCCGCGATTTTTCTTTCCTCTGCCTGTAACGGAGGAGATGACGATGTAAACGATTCGAGATGTGAATATGAAAGTGATAGAGGATTACACGACATCAACACGAAGGTACATAAAACGTTTACTTCATAAGCAGAGGTAAATGTTTCTAAAACTTTATCAAGCTGTTGATCAAACTTTTGGCAATACGCATCTACCATTTGCTGCCTATACTCATCAAACACAGCATTCGTTAGCAATCATTCATCCTCGCCTTTAAAATAGGCCATAGAGTTACACTGTCGATTCACCTTTTATTAAATTTATGACTGCGCATATACTCAAGTTCTGCTATCTGTTCTGCACGATTTCGTTGCAATTGCACGTACAATCTCTGACCCTCTTCCCAGCCCTGTTTCTCTTGTTCTACAAATTCCTGCTCGGCCCTTTTGATTGCTTCCTACAAGCGATAGATCAGACTGCTAGATAAGTAGTCTCGTAGCCATACTAATCAAAAGCCGTGGTTCCAGGTCAGACATACCTGTACACGTTGATGTGTCTGCGCAATCTTTTCAGCCTCCCACCATCCGTGCTCGACTTTCATGAAGTCGAGATCCTGTTGTCTAACGGGTTTGACCATGTATAATTCCGATCGAGTTGCTAAGATGCAGAGAAGGAAACCGTTTCGAAAACTGAGTATTTGATATGCTATTGGATGAATATGTACTACGTGATATTTAATGACGTAAGCAGTTTAAAATTTAATGTGCCATGGTATATTATTCAGCATTCCGTATGAACTCGTGCTCAAAAGATTGATAAATTTGACAACAAATAATAATAAATTGATCAGAACCACCAATACAAACATGACAAAAAATACGGTCGATAATAGTTAGACAAAATTTTCCAAAAGTTTATTATTATTAAATTACAAAGACATTTTGTGTGGAGAACATCGAAGCTTGTAGTTTAAGTTACCACGGTATTGCAGCTCGATTTCGACGCGCTGAAGTCGTGGTTAAGGCTGTCTCGATGTGGGTTGCGCCGCGGCCGAGGAGGAGTCCTTTAAAATTATATACACTAGTGAACCCTCACCTCGCGGGACCGGTGATATGCGAGGATGGGAGTTGGGGTTACGATTAAATAATGACACTAATTATATTAGCATACAGTATCTCGAGTTAAGTAATATGAGCAATCAGAATTACTATCGCTTTTAAATTTTATTCATAATAAAACTTTTTGCAAAACTAAATTAAAATTAATTTGTTTACTCTCGTATGAATTGTGGTTCTCTCTCTCTCTCTTTGATAAAAATATGTTAAGTCTTTTGTTGTCTATGAATCCGTATTATAGAAAGACAATATAAATTGTATACTAATATTAATATTGATATCAGCGAGAAGCATAGAGTATTAAGCAAGGATGTGATATATGCGGATGAATTTATATATAGGGAAATCCGTTCTGTAACAGCTGAGAGAGATGTTGGGGTGGATATTAGAGAGGGTTAATAGTAACGGAGTACCGGTTATTAATGCTAATAGAGTTTGGAGAAAGTGAGAATTTTTTTAACACAACGGAATAGTCACTTAGAATTCGAGAATTTCGTTTACGAAAAAAGTAAACACAATTTTTGTTAGTAATTAAATGTTATAAGACAACGATTACTAAAATATTAACCTTTAACAAGCTAATGCTTACTTCTACTTGCGCGCACACAAATTACCTATCAACAAACAGTCGATCAAAATAAGGACTTCCGGAATAACGAGAGCGTAATAGCAAATATATACATCAAATTGAATATTAATCTCGTCAGAAGATCGATGTTCGCACTGGAAGAAAGATTTGCACTAAAAGAATCACAATATATACTTTAAACTTGTTTTATTGTTAATGCAGAAAATGATCCGTACATATTAAAACAAGTATTATATAATAATATAACAATAATTTGACTTCTTAAAATAACAAAGACAAAAACATTGCATCTCGAAATAAGTACTAAGAATTACAAATTTGTCTTTACTCACTATAAAAATAATATAAACTAATACAAATAATTATGCGAACCTCTGCGAGATTTGTATTTTCCACTCGTTTATGACCCACATGTCACAACAGAATTAATAGTAGCAACTCCCAAAACATTCTCAGCTTGCCCCTTAACAAGTTCGTTTATCACGAAACAGCACTGACCATTGACTGCGGCCACGGTAGTGACAGGTGTTGGTGACAAATCTTTGCTGTTTCCGGCGAAGGCTGAACCAAACGTAACGAGACCATCCAAATCAATGGTTGCTGGGTCGCCCTGTTGGTTAGGGTCGGCAGAAGTACATGGAGCTACGTGAATGTCAAATCCAAGAGGGTTCGGTCCTGCACCCACACCAATAATCTGCAAGAACCCATTAATGGCTAACGAGCCCTTTGTCTCCACAAACGTAATTGCGCCGTCGAATGTCGGCGTAACGTTATTTTGGGCTTTACCAGTAACGAAGGTGCAGGTGCTGACGGGAGCACAGGGCGGTGCGGGCTCTGGCGGTTGTTGGGGTGCCCTTTCTTGAAGAGGCGTGGCATGGACTGCTGACCAAAAGACCAAAAGCAGGCAAAGGTAAAAGACGTGGGTTAGACGGTTCATTTTAGAATGCGTTTTGCGGTGGCTGTTTTGAGTTCGTAAGGTGCTTCTCTTTGTTGTTTTCGTAAGTATGTATGTGACCAAGATCTGTTCGCACTGTTGAGCCATGGGGAAGTTGGCCCACCTTTTATATCTTTCGAAAATCCGGCATTTCTATAGATAAAGTAGTTTTTTATATCAATGCGTTCGTTCTATAAACAAATTTATTACACGCGGAAGTGTTTTCCGAACTTGACTATGAGCCATTTACAAGAATAACCTTACACGAAAAAAAAGATGGGGCCAGACTTATCATTGTCAATAACAATAGTTTCTACTTTTTTGATCGGCTGGCGTTTTTCTTTCTACTCTCGCAGTCTCTTTTATTCATTCAGTCCTACATAAAATTATCGAGTATGATATCTCATTCAAATGCCGCGATAGTCACAACAAAGTCAGACGTTGCTTCCATTGAGGTTGTGCAAATGACTTGTAAGTCGTCTTTGTTAATTCGTTTTACGCAGGGAGAGATTGTTCTAAACGCCACATTAATCGATCGCCTTTATCTCGCGATAAAGGATTGCTTTCAATCAACAGTTTCTAGATATCGCGACACGTGTTAATTAATTGCCTAAAATTGGTCGTATTTAAATTCATCAAAATTTCTGATTGGAATGTTCAGATGGTTTTTTATGTGAACATACGATTTCCAATAACGGAAACGGCTTTAAGTAAAAGATCTAAATGTTTGAATATGTTTTAACCAGAAATCGATGCGTTCATTCATCGGCCCGTTACATTAATGGAATGATAAGATCTTGATAAAATTTTTTCCGCGTATGTTTGTCAAAGTTTGTTATAGAATGACAGTAGTCTAACGGTCAATGATAGTACTTTCTAAAATTCTCTGATTTTCTATGAGCAATTACGCAATCCCGAGTTGCTAAGCTTTGTTGAATTAATTTTGGTCTAATTAAACATTTCTCAAAATATTGGACAGTTATCTAACTTCCTATTCAATAAGCTAACCGCACAGACGATATCGAAAAATCTTGATGTACAAGTATTCTTTAGACTTGTAAATAGAAAAGCAGTTGCTAAAATTTTATTCTAGAAATAAACATCTTACAATAAATAATATTACGATACGAGCAAGACTAAAAAATATTTAATATTATTGTGGTAGACTAATGTTTTGTTTAAAGACTGTTTGACCGCATTCTATCTTTCTAACAATTAATACTATATCTCATATGAATTATATTCATAACTGTGTTGCTAAAAATATATGACAGCCGAATAAGTGGCCATAGTCAATGGTTTATTATTATAAAATAAAATGCATAGTTACATATATTAAATAAATATTAACATATCAATGGGTATGATGATATAATATCTTTTGCAACGCCGTTTATATGCAATTTCCATCTGCAGTTTGATAAAAAAAAATAGTTCTATAATAATCACAGTTACCGTAAAATCCAACGGGACCCGAGTTTAGATATTTGTGATACAAATTAAAAACATGACCCATTTTGCAAATTGTTTAGTGGGGTGTTTTATTATGCACGTATTAATCCAGCCAAACAGTTGAGACGGTAATTTTTTTTTTAAAGCTGCAAACTCTTTTTGGAGCCAACGCACGCTCACTCTAATATGATTACATCATTCAAAAGTAATTTTCAAGACAGCAAAGTTTAGTCATTACCCTGGAAGACGTGATGGCATTTCAATATCATATCACCGTTTTCCAATTCCTATACTGTTTATTGTTGTGAAATATTAGGGTTTATTGACATATTAATAGTTTTGTTATTTCTAATGTAGTGTCTGAGTTTGACAGGAGTGACTGGATCCTGAACAGAGACAGGGTCTCAAACTCAGACACTACATTATTCCTTGTATCTGATTATCAAGTATTTTGCCAGCGTAATAAATACAAACATATCAATATTTTTATTCTTGACGAATAGCACTCACTTTACTTGTATTAATATCGATGTTAAAGGCTTCATTTAAGGATACTAATACAGATTAGATTATTTTTTTAGGCAAAAGGATTGTATTGTACTACTACTACCAACAGCGCTTCGTGTAACATTTTCGTTATAGTAAAATGGCTAAACAAACAATGATTATCTTTTGATAATTGAATCTGTTCGTCGATTGTAAATACATAATTGCAGTGACTCGGATAAACGCCACATACCTAGAATGAGAACAAATATATTTAAATGTGTAAATCAAGCCATATCATACAATCTTTGTTTTAGTAAAAGAAGAGTAACCCATACTAATACTCTTATTATCTCACTTTCTGTTGTTTCAACAAAATCCCGTTTTCTGTGGCACTATCATTATGGCGATCTCAACTTCCAAAAAATTCGCCATTGAACACAAGTCATGGGGGACATTAATACAACCTTTTTTGGGATGATGATGATGACGATGAAAATGTTGCCAGAATAGGAATTTAATATGGAAAATGTGTGGAGAGAGAAGCAAAGAGTGACAGCTAGTCTGTTAACCATAAGACAGAATACATTTGCACAGGGATCATAAATTGACAGTAGTTATAATGATGTATGTCGGATTGTCAATGCAATTTTAAAATGCCTGAAATTAATAATCCATTTTGTTGTTGAAAGGACTCTTATTCTTTAAGTAGATAGAAAAGATGCAAGATTTGCTTTCAAGTGACAGATTCCATATCTATTCACGAGATTAATAAGAATGTAGTAAGCATATACAAGTTTACAAATAACGTTTGATGCACTTTTGCACTTTAAATAAAGTTGTGAGCGTAAACTGCTGCAACATTTTGTTAACAACTGTTAATTAAAGGTAAAAAGACGCGCGAGTATAAATTAGAAAGCAAGGTCTCTCCACAAACACCCTTATAATTGACGATTTCCAAGTTGACCACGTTCGAGTGAACAAATTTAATTGACAGTCAGAATCAACACAGCGTCCTTCACCTACAACACGACTTTAGATTGTTCGCTCAGGAACATCTCCGTCATGTAGCGCTTGTCAGCATAGTAAGTTATTGGTTCTCAAACGATGGTAACAAAAGCGCATTATGAAAAAGGTTCGATAGCCTTGATTTGTTCGTTAAGGTGTCTTGCTTTCAGTTGAGACATAACATTTTTATTTATGAGTATTGTACGATTAACTGCTGCTAACTGATTCGACTATGTATTTTTATTTGCACCTTCTTTTACCGACACTATTAGGATTCAGGCTATTAGACTACATACATTGCTTGTGACAAGCCGTTCATCAACTTTGAGGAAAATAACCGATTTGTAATAATAATACAAGTGGCACTCGATATAAGAAAGTGATCGGGAGCCATAGTAAAAATCTTAGAATCCTTCTTATACTGAGAGTTTATTAGTAACTTTCTTATATGGAGATGATTTTATATAGACTGTTTTTCAGCTCAACTTTCTTATATCAAATTTTAATTAGTGTTTCTTATATCGAGAGCTTCTTATATCGAGTTTCACTTGTAGTAATAAAGTCAAACTGACTGATAAGTATTTTCATAGTACATAGTGAAATACAACACTCGGTTAACAATCATCTGTGTTTTGACAGCTCGAGCTTAAGCTGCTTCAAAGAAAAGTCTTCAAATACATTTCTTGTTTCTGGTTGGCCAAACCAGTATCGACAACCATCGACTTTTTATATCCATCTTATCGTCCAATTCCGAACATCAAGAACATGGAAAATTGGAACTTCGGAACGCTTGTGCCACATTCCGTTAACTGTATTAAGCTTAATCTTGGCCTGATCGGGAGTAACGTTAACAGTGAGATTAATTATTTTCATACATAATGACAAATAATTCTCGTGGTACACATCACATCATCCCCTGCCAATAACTGCCATATAACAAACATCTACATCAAAGCCCCTCCCCATTTGTGCGTTTTTCACACTCACAACTTTATCTGCTTGAAGAGCGAACCAACTTACAGCCACATTCAGTACTGCAACATTCTTGTCAAGCTACAAAACTGACATCCACCCAATACGCTAGCTATTTTGTGCTATAAGAAGAAAGAAACAACAAACCCAAACCTGTCATTATACTATCCAGTTTTCGTCGTCGTTACAATCAACATCCGCTAACTAAGCAAAATTTTTGCGAAAGTCACACATACGAACCACTGGCCTTCTCTTCATTACCAAACAACCTGATTCTCAGAGATAAATACTCGAATGGCGACCACCATCCAGTTACAAGTCTTTAGTAGTAATTTTAATAGTAGTAGTAGTAGTAACAGCAATAGTATTGCTGGCATTAATAGTGGTGAGCCATTTCGAGCTGTCTGCACCAAATATTCCCACCAGAGTACTACGAACAGTGGAGAATGCTATTATTACTCTACCCGTACGTGAAGGATAAGCGTTTGGGATTTGAGGTTGGGGCTAGAGCGAGGGGAAGAGTTTAAGATAGTGTTTGTACAATTATAGTGAGGCTTTAACGACGCATAATGCATATATAAACCGACCCAATTATATACATACTTTCCCCCCATTGCTATTATATTTTCTATAAGAGTTAGAATTTAAGTCTACATAATTATATGCATACTTTTTATACCTTTCATTATATTTTCCTAATAACGTAATCCAACCAACAAACGGCTGTCTAATATGCATCATCTTCTTTTACAGTGGGTAAGAAGACTGAGTGGCGCTCCTGTAAGTTTCTAATCACTTTTCCATCCTTTTTTTTTTATACGTTTCTTCGCTCTACAACCTAATCTTGATGCAAAACGTCGTTCACCTTGCTTGTTGCCTTTAATCTTACAGGACATGACTCTCGAGGCAACCCGGAATATGACACCAAACCTCCTGACCCGTGATGGTGGCAGCATTACGGAGAATTCAGGAGGTTTACTTGCCCCGAAGGGCAACAATACTACAAATACCAACTTGGCCACAGACTTCTATTCAGCATCTCCTATCAATACTCCCTCCAATACACCCTCAAGCACACCCTCGAGTACACCTTCGAGTACGCCTTCGAGTACACCCTCTTGCGTAACGCTCTCGCAGACTCCAATAGAAAGCTCCTTTAGCGCCCAAGTCTTTGCTGATAAAAAGCCTGACCAAACGGTGCAGATCTTCATGGGAAATCAATACATTTCGGACGGGTTTGTCCTGAACGAGATGTTCTTTTTGAAAGGAAACGGTCTTGAGAAGGCAGGCTTACGTGAAAGGTAGACAAACTTTTGAATTGTGTTATGAATTATGGAGAGATGGTCGACTGTTATAGTTAGAGGGTTATGAGCGAGGTTTGAAACAGCTATTGACAAAACGGAATGTAGTGACGATGAAAGGCTTGCAGGATGATTCATTTACGCTCTGTACAAGTGACTATACTTTCAATTTCTAAATAGTTTGCACAAACTAACCGGACTATTCGCATTTTACAGCTTGCTTTCTATGATGGAACTAGCTGAAGAGTGTTTTGACTGTCGTTACCTGATTGTTTGCTTGGAGAAAAAATGTGATTTAGGTAAGGCTCGAAGTTGAATATGAAGTGGGTGATTATTGGGTGTTAATTAATATAGGACGTATTGTTTGGCGATGCGGGATACAAGAAGCAATACAAGTCACTAACGTCACTCCCTCCATATGTTCCTCTTTGCTTTTCTACACTCTGCTTCCATTACATTATCTAATCTGCAGTCGAATTACTACGCGTATACCTGTACATCGGGTTTGAGCATGTCAAGCCCTCCGTGTTGGGGCACTCTACAGAAAACTACGTGCTTCTTGGGATGGAATTGTGAGGAAATATAATATTCTTCGTATAATATTTTTCTATATATATATATATTATTTTTTTCGCACTCCGGCAAGCCAATTTTGAATAAATATTGTGATATACAACTGTATTGTTCTGTGATAACAATTGTTCGGCATTCCTCTGACGGGTAACACCTACTGTCAAACTCATATCTTTGAATCAACTACAAGATCGTAAAGGAAAATAACGTCATTACATACGATCCTGGTACCATCATTTGATGTAAACACAACAACTCCTCTACTCACTGTTGAACTTTGTGTGACTTCCCATGGCGACGACCTGCCCAGTATTTTTATTCCGTATAACAGTATGGGTATTCGCTAGTGATTTACCCAGCTTGATAATAGAGCATTCTATCAATACCACGTCACCTTCTTTGGCAGCTGAAACGTAACTTATCGTCAAGTCATTAGATACGCCTCCATGTACGAAATACTTTGTCGCTAATTGAAGAAAAATACAAGAGATTCTGAGCAAGTAGTTGAACTCGAAACTTGTACAGTTGCTTGCCCTTTCTTCTCTGTAATGCACATTGATCCTTTATCATGACTCACCGGCTGCGATTATAGCACCAGTAGAACAAACATCGATAATACTAGCAGTACATCCACCATGCAAGCTTCCCAATCCATTGCAATCATCGCCAGTAACAGTCAACTCGAACACGGACTTGGTCGGTGAAACCTCAATGACAGACACCCGCGGCCAAAGTGAGGATAAAAACTGGCCCCGTCTGTTTGCGCTACGAAGGTAGTTTTGTAGACGTTCTGCTACGGAGCGTTTGGGGTCCACTTTTAATGCCATAACTGTAGAAGAGAAGACACTTTGATGGGATCTACTGGTGGTGTGGACAAGCGAAGAGTTTATCCAATCACCACATTTTAACCACATGCATTTCCCCTATGTTGATTCCTTGCCGTTTCCAAAACGACCCTCGCTAATGCATGCATGCATTTACATCCATGCATTTTCTTGGATCGTTCTCACTCTCGACCCGATCACTTCAAAAAAGCTCGACCCGGGTCAATAAAGTAAACGCTATTTTACAAGACTGACTCATAACCGTACATGTTCTCGCCCCCAAATTCCGATTTTACGTTCCTGCTAAAAATTAACACACGCGCGAGATCTCTTTGAGTAAGCAACTGTCATTGTAATTAGATCAAAATAGCGAGGAGAATTTCACAACGCGATACCAGGAAGATGTCAAGGTATATTATTAAAAAGTGTAGGGGTTTCGATGATAATGAGAATGGCGTTGCTGGTTTTCTTATACAAATTAATCAAAGAATCAAACTTATGCATTGAATTACGGTAATTTTGTTAAAGCAAGTTCAAATGGTAACGTCGATAAAAGTTTAAGAATTTCAAATATCTGGAAGACCTCGATTACATCACATAGTAATAGCGCAAATCTAATCGCCGTGAACTCACAAGCTAATAGTCCAAATTCAAGTTCCAGAGCGTAAAAAACTGCATCTCGTTGAAAAAATTATTCCTTGTTCAAAGCTAATTTACATTTCCCTCAATGCTTGTAACAGCTCCCGAGACATGTCTAAAATTGTTTGGCATCGCTTTTCCGTAGAGAAGTTTCTAAAATATTATTGCATGATTCAACTATTACAAACTCCTCAATGCATATTTCTCTGCATAATGTATGCGATGCAGGAGTTCCGTCGTACCGACACATTGACACCTGCCCGCAGTTATACAGTGAAGGGCTTATGGTGGGAGTGCGTGTTCTATGCAAATGCAATTTGATCAAATGCGTCACGAAAAATTATTAATGGTTTGTAGGGCATAGTAATAGTATATATTATGCGGAAAACGACATGATTAACATACTCCATGTACTCTCCATAATAATAAGGGCAAGCACATTGTCGATTACATCTAGAGAGCATTTAAACTGTACGTAACGTAATTTTATCAATGTTGCGACAGAAAAAGCTAACTATTGAAACGATGATGGGGTTCGGATATAATTTACTGAAAGGTGAAGCCTGGCTTAACCTATTGACTTGATATTTCATCCATTCTATTGACGTATTTCTCTATGGATAAATTGTTTATTACTCATGAATGAAGCGTTAAAAGCATTGCAATTTAAAAAGAGAGTATAACTCCAAGGGATGATGTTTTTCGCAGTCTTCTGAAAACAAATATTAAGTTTACACTTAAATCCAGCCGGCAAGGCGATGCCTGTAAGACAAAGACATCGAATATCTCATGCTGTTCAGTCTACCAAGAGTACAAACTCACTAATTATGTTTGTTTTTCTTGAGTGGACTTCAAAAGTTTCTTGCTAAAGATGTTAATATTTAGAACAGACTGTTAATCTGCGCGCCTTTTAATTCTCGTTCTCAGCATCAGCTGCTCCTCAACATATAAACGTAAGAATATTATATTTGCCTTTTACAGTTTTGATATTCCCATTTGTTACACTAGTAAATCATTTAATTGGTCATTATAGGACATTGTTTTACTATTGCCTTATAACACATTTATAATATTAATATGTACAGTAGTTCCGTTTACAAGAAGGAGGTGCGGTTGAGTATTGTTATTTATTACAACATATTAATATCTATTAACAATGTATGACAACACTCGCCAGACCATTCAAAGAATTGGATCTTAGCTGTCGTTTTTGTAATGGGCGTAAAGGCATTTCCTAACGCCTTTGTTACGGTGATTTTTGTGTCCCCACCGCTCAATTAATAAGTCTCACGTTTTTACTTGGCGTACAATTGGCTTATTTTAGTAAATGACGTGATGTTATCGTTACGATATCTAAAGTATAGAAGAGTCTTATTATAATTATTACGGTGCATCAACATTCTCATCTACATAATATTGTGTACTCGTAGCATTCTCTTACGCACGTTTGCGTGTAGTGCTAAATCGTGTACCTAACGTTGACTAGTGTAGTGCTCATGTACCGATCCTCTTGCACTGAAATAAATATGAGTGTAAGAGTGCGAAAATCGTGGGCATACATAACCTATACTAATACCATTTGTTCGTAAGCGCAAAAATAAAGTAAGTCCATCAGGTCGAATCAGCAACGTTGCCAAAAATATGTTTGATGTAACCTGCAAAGAATTTTTGTAAACATGACGAACCAATTGGCTAAAGTAACACCATCAGTCAGCAAGGGGCAGCCAGTAGGGTTTGTTTCAAAGACAGCTACACTTGTATAATATCGGGAGTTTCAAAATTCACCATTCTAAAATAACTTTAAAAAGACCCTAAAATTATCGATCACCGAGTAAAGCGTCAATACAACGTTGTGACTGTTTTGATATCATGTAGTTCCTTCTCATAAACAATGTCTTGCCATACTTTGATCCAGGTAAACTGACTACAAGACGAAGAAATTTTAAATTAACAGACTACGTCTGTTCTGCAAGATGTAGTAATACCATAGAAAATCCAAATTTAGAAATGAATAATAAAGATTGGTTACATGAATTCGAAAACATTTAAAAACTTGGACGAACGGGTATTATGCAAAATTCATTTTTTATCAAGAGCCGGCCCCCTCTTGATTTTTATAATATACACTTGATACAACTACAAGATAATATAAACAAATTGTTCGAATCATTTTATTTTACAGAAGAAAATCAGTCATAAACGAGTGGTTACCCATAAAATGTCAAATCCGTCACAACCAACCCTTCTGTTACAACCTCTCTCCATACCTCCTAATGGAGAAACCCACTATGAAGCACCTCCTCATGCGCCCGATGAAGAAGTAACATCAGTGCAATCCACAATTATTTACAATCAAAATGGAGTAAATAATTCTACAGGCGCAAACGCTAACAGTGTTTATGTAGTCAACAATCCCCAATTCTCACCATTGAATTCTCCAGGAGTACAGAGCACTAGCCCAACCGTTCCTATCTCGCCCACGCTTCAATCATCGAATACCCAATCATTTATGTTGCAGCCAGTTAATAGTACATTAGTCCCAGTTGCTAACCAACAGAAAACAGCGTTTCCGCAACAGACTCCGTTGGCTCAAAATCAACAAGCAATGATGACCGGTATGTCCTCTGGTGCCCTGCAACAATATTTTTGCTCAAATTGTCAGACGTCTGTTCTACCTCTTGAGGAAACGAGTCAAACACCGCTAGGATATTTGTTTGGATTCATCATGTGTATCGTCATACCGGGCATTGGATATGCGTGCGGGAGAGTGTGTGTCGCAACGGTTCGAAAGTGTCCTTATTGTATGGAGGTTATCCCAAGCGGGGTGTTTGCAGGTGGGAATAATCAGATGGTTGGACAAACTCAAATGGTTGGGCAAACTCAAATGGTCGGACAGCCTCGAATGGCTGGCACGCAGACTTTTACACAGAATCAATTAGTGGGGCAGAATCAAATGATGACTACTGGGCAGTCTCAGTATCAACTGGTTGGGCAGAATCAATTGGTGAGGCAGAATCAATTGGTGGGGCAGAATCAATTGGTTGGGCAGAATCAATTGGTCGGGCAGAATCAATTGGTTGGGCAGAATCAATTGGTCGGGCAGAATCAAACGATGACTACTGGACAGACTCAATATCAGATGGTCGGGCAGATCAAATAGTTCAGACATAGTAACAATGAAGCTAGAGTTAGAGAAATAATGTAAATTGACTGTGCTGTTTTGTTTTGTGTAGAATCTTTCTGATCTCTGTGGTTATTATATACACTGTAGTATACAATTCCATGCCTGCAACATACAAAAAACAATATTAATATACCACTAATAGCAAAATGTTTTTACCACTTCTTAATTAAACTTTATCTTAAACTAATACACCTAATATTTGGAATCCATTTTTGTGATACTAATAATTTTAATCATAAGTTATGTGACTGTATATGCACAATAGCACAGTAATTTAAAAAATGTTCATTATTTGTTGATATCGTGTCGCGTAGATTTAGGATGCATCACATCAAATTAAAATTCATAGCAGTTTAATCAACGGTAATTTTGTTATAGTTTTGCTCCCAATGTATGATGTATGGCGAACGTCTAAAAATAATTTGGGCGTAAACAATTTTGTATTAAATGTATGATTTAAGTACCGTAGTTTATTAATTGTCACATTTTAATGCCATTACTATAGTTAATTATTATTATATTATGTTCAACAACAATAATTCACACTTTTACTTTGTAGTTTGGAGCAGACCGCAACAAACGAAACGAAGTAAACATTTTATTAAGTGAATCAAGAATTGTAACCGGGCTGAAGAACTGGCTAGAGTGATTGAATTCTCGGTATTAGTATTAGTGGCACAGCTGTGACCATGTCTGAGTTCATGACTAAATTTTAAAATCTGTATTAATTGGTGTCAATGTAAAGTGGTGAGGCAAACATTTTACTTACAGTTATCATTATAAATAACATCCATACTTTCATAACCCTATATTAATATGAAATTAAATTACTTCAATATCTTATTATTATGCAATGATAGAATTTTAAAATTTAAACTTTTAGTAAGTATAATAACTTGATAAAGACGGTTGCCATATTAATATATCTTTTTTACTAAAAAATTAATTTTTTAGACTAATGCTAATGAAAAACTATTTACAATAACAAATGCTAGCTTATTTACAATTTTTGTTGATAATTTAGAGCTACTCAGTTAATATTTGTTATATTCTACTAATACATTAATATTAATATTAGCAAAACTGAGTTTTGTTTTTTGATAAATTTTGTGGAATTTGTCATCACGTGCAATTTGCTATTGTGAATGACATTAATTACTGCCAAGTGTTTAACTTATATGTAATATAAAGCTTTGCATCTGATCAGTACCACCATGATTTTTTTCTGGTATTGTATCAGAATGTTCCATAGTATATTAACAAATTTTGATATTGAGTAAACTCAGTAGTAAATTTAACCTTTTTGCAAAACCATTTTGTTGCTTTCAGCTTCCCAGACTTTTCTACCCAATTACGCTGTTAACAAAAATTAACACACTGTACGAACACATGACAGCAGAAAGTATTGAAGTCAGTTTCATTCTCAACAATTTCTTAATCACACTGGAATCATATAAAATATTAATATACGGGAACTTTTTCAGCCATATAATAATAATAAGTGGTTAGATTATGTTGAAAGTCACCCAGAACAAAGACATCTTGACAAACATCCCATTCTGAAACTTTTTCCTAAAATCATGATGCTCGATGTCACTAACAGTAAAGAGTTTCTCAATATTAATATTACACTAATAATAAAAATAAGCAATTTTATTTTATGGCTTTTTTGGACGTATCTATTCGATTGCCATTGGAAAATACATATTCAGTATCATCGGCAACAACCCAATACAGTTAACGGTCTTCGTTGCATCGGCTTGAATCAGTTAACTTAATTGAGGAGTCAGATAACTACGATTGTCCTTTCGAAGTAACTAGATACTGTATAAATTCTAGGGGACTTCGCCCTTTCTTGTACTAAATAGAGAACGGATATGCTTGATAATCTGTACATATGTAATATTCGATATGAGCCAATGACAGTCAATCAATAACATGACGAGCTGGTTGTAAGTCTAAGTTAAGAGGTTTTTATTTATTGACAATATTATTAATTTATATGGTATATAACACACTTGCTACTATTGATGTTACAGTACACCAATTGATTTTGCCGCATTTCTTAACAAAGTATGCTCGCAATGGGCTTTCCCTCAACCATGTCTCGACCTTCGCAAAAATGAACTATTTATCTAGTTTTACTAGCAAACGAAAATTCTGTTATTCTATTGTTATAAGGAATTGGAAAACACGTATGTCGCTGTGATACTAAACGATACCCGTTTTTGGAACGCGGCTTAATATTACCGTAGATCATTGAATACAATACCTCCCCCAAAATTAGACCCGGGTACAATTTAGAAGTTTTTTGCGACGTTCTCATTGTATACCCGGGTACAATCAGTTCACGTAATGCTTTTTTTGATATAAAACAATTGTTAGTTTTCCAATGCATCCTAACTTCGGTTGCTTTTTCTCAGTGACGCGGTGGCATCACGGTATCTAAATATAAGGCGTGGGTATATGTTAACCAATGATATTTGCTCTTTACAAGCCTTCATCGGTAAATATTGTATCAGTACCTACCGTGATTAGTAGTAAGAATTTTGCAATAAATTGGGGAAGGTAGAGGGAAGGTCCCAACCAAGTGCTAGAGGAGACACCATAATATTGAGTTGTCTATTAACCGCTTAGGTTATCATAATAATAAACGTTATCAGCTTCAAGCTCACGTGATTTGTAATAACTTCTTGCATCAACAAATGCGTGTTGATGCAAGCTCGCGCAGTGCGTAAACAATTATGCTGTTTCCTAAAAATCCATTAAACGTAGTAACGTTGTAACAGTAGATGTCCAATTTCTATAATCTCAATATGGAAGAATGCTTCCTATTCATGACTTCATACAATTCATAATGACGTTGCATTCTTTGTTACCAGATAAGAAGTAAACAAAATATTTATTGTTATGAATTAAGTAAAGAATTGACCAAGCTGCCTTTATCCAGACGCCGCTTATGATTTTTAATGTCCCAAGTCTGTGACAGGTCAAACAGATGTCGCATTGTCGGTCTCCCATGCGGACAGTTCTGATGTAAAATGGATCAATAAGCGAATGCGGTGAATGATCTTGACAAGTAAACTTGAGCATATTATATAGTAACTGAATATCCTACCCAAGGCTGACTTATGGTGCCCATATTGTTTACGATCTATATAATTGAACGGAGATCACGTCATTATCATGATTGTAACAGCCGATGAACATACTAAGATACTTACCTGTTTCATTTGCCGCTTGTTCAATGGGTCTCCTATCATCACAGATTTACGACATGCGCGAGATGCAAACATATTGCGTACTTGCGAGCAGTGAACCATTTCACCAGGCCGCTCAGCTAATAAAAAAATCAACTCTTCCAAGTCTTTTATATAACAAACGTCAGCACTGTAATACGCATAGTTACCAAAACATGGAAAGAAAATACATTGAGCGTAAATAACCTTTAGTGCCAAATACGGTGTTCTTGCTTATCGGTTGCGCTACTAATTTCAATCTCCTTGTTGGTGGAGCTTTATCATCAACTTGCAGTTCAAATCCATTGGCTTTCAAAACGTCAATATTTTCAATCGCAACTAACTCCTCAGCGGCAGTAAATTGCAGCTGCATAGGACTAGAAATACCCAACGAACTCAGTCAACAGTGTGTTCACTTTTTGTGGGAGTGATAAGAATCGAGCACCAACCTAATCAACTGTTGAGAATGCAGCCTCGTCTGACGTTGTAAAGTCTCAAAGTTATACTTCTCGTCAGAAGCATGCTGATCAACTATAAACAAGTCACCTCCAGATACACTATCTAGCTTCACTATAATGAAACCAAGATTGAATTGACCCACGACCTTCATTCGAATGAAATCTTCCTTTGATATAACTCTATTCAATTCACGTTCAGCTATTGCGTTGCTTTCTGCGTCGAGTCCGGCATCGACAAGGTGAGTTTTGTCGGGTAATTTTCGTATCAGTGTAGCTTTTTTGTTCTTCTTTCTATTTTTAAGTTTGTTAATGTCAAATTGCACACTTAGTTCAGTTCGGTTTGCAGGTTCGTTTGGCTCGTACTCTATCGAAATCGTCTCAAGTGCTGGGTTCAACACAGGTCTAGAGTTAGAGTTCCTTTTCACGATATCATCACTTGCAATGTCTACGTTGATTCTCTGGCGCTTCAGTGAATATTCATTGTCGGATGCAGTTTGATTTACTTGCAAACATATCTTTGGCGTCTCGGTAATACACGCAGATCTTAATTTCTCGGTGGACGCGATTTTTGATGACACCACTTGCGTGACCTGGTTTTTTTCCTTAGGATCAATCTCGGATATCCCTGATGTAGTAGAATCTACTTCTGCGTCGTCTTTCGGCAATCTGGATAATTGTCTATCGACGCTCTTATTGGCAAGTGATCCTACCGTATCCTCATACGGTTGACGGTTTTGGCATTTGGAATTTTCAGAGTCAAAGACAAGACTTGAATTACTGTTAACGGAGAAGGTCGATCGAAACGGCTCAAATACCTGGATCAGTTGATTCTATATTCGTATTATAACTAATTAGTAAAATTTGCAAGACAAATGCACGACTGTCAGACAAAGAAATAATCATCTTAACCTTCATGGCGTCAACAACTTTCTTTTCATCATGAATATATATTGTACGTTTGTCTGGACTCACGTTGACATCATATCTTGCTATTATAAAAAATATTTGTTAATCAAAGTTCATCGAGAATACATGGAACAACAATTGACTCGCATTTCAAATACATTTATCTAGACGAACATCCGCGATTACAAAGGGCAACTGATTGGAGTTATAAGTCTTGTATACTTCGTTAAAGACTTTGGAAATCTAATGGGAGCGGGTAAATGATCGTAAGAATCTCGTAATAGAACTTCTATTGGCAATCCAATTATACATGCCTTTGGTAATGTACAAGGACGTCCGTTTATGTAATAGTACTGTCTATCAGTAGTATTTCGGCCACATCCATGGATCGGCTTGGAGATATAGCCAACCACTTGAATAACAGTCTCTATCCTACAAACACGGCGTTAGATGTATATTTATAGTGTGACGAAGACTTCGAAGTAATCTACTTCACCGTGAATTGTCATCGGATTCTGTGGCATCAACCATCATCGATCTCTCTGATTCAATGTTCAGCTGAAAGTCTATAGCCATCACTTGGGGTAATTGTTTGGCACCAAATATATTTACAAAATTTTCACGTATAGATTTATTGCCGCTAGTTGCAAGAATCGTGGTTCTCTCGCTATAAAAACAGCGAGTAAGTATTGATTTTTATACTACGAATCTAAATACATACAGAAATAAATACCTTCTGCCTGTCTGATTAGTGCATGTAATTTTCACGCCTTCTGATATAATTCCATAAGCTTGCAACAATGTCAAAGCTTTTGCAAACTCGCGTTTGACATTTCTCTTAAACTCTTTCTGTCTGACAGGCAATGACTCAAATAATCTTTGTACACTGACAGTTGTTCCGCGCTAGACAAAGGAATGTTGATTGTATCAGAGCTCATTGATGATAACAGTTCCGAGAAAACGATGAACAAATGTTTAAAGGATCGTTCTACAAATGCACCTCGCGTGCAGTAGGAATTGTCTTTGCAAGCCGACCATTCGCGTCATATTCAAGTTTTCTGCCGGATGGCGCCTGTTCTTCAGTCGAGGTGATAACCGTAAGTTTTGATAAAGCGCTCAGTGAGCTGAGAGCTTCTCCACGAAAACCGAATGACTCGATAACTGTCAAATCTTCGAAACAAGACAACTTTGAAGTATGGTGTTTCAAAGCTATGCATTCAACAAGCTAAAGTTAGCAACGTTTTATTGCTTCAAATATATGTCGCGCGTTAGTTATGATACTTTACCAAGAAATTCATAATTTTGTTCTGGTATGCCAATTCCATTATCGATAACTTCTATGAGCTCGAGCCCGTGATTCTTGAGCCTCACTTCTGCTTGCGTTGAGTAAGAGTACATGAGTAAACGAATTCGCATATTACAGCATACGCTAAAACGTGTTACCTATGGACGTAGCCTGCGCGTCCAAACTATTCTCGACAAGCTCCTTAATAGTTGTACTCAGATCTACAATAACTTGACCTGAACAGATGCGATGTACTGAGGATTTATCGATCGCTTTTATTGTCGTCATCTTGCAAAAATAGGATCTTTCATGCGCGTCAAACATTCAACATGGGGTTGTACATTAAATGATCATGTGAGCTAATAATAGTTTAGTTTACATAATCACGTATTGGAATTAACCGTTTGCCGACTAATTTAAATTTTATTTCAATTTACCTGTTTAATTCCATCACCAGTAAAAGCTGCTATCATTCATGCCCTAATCCGATTTTTAGAAATGTAAATTAGTGATAAACTGAACGTTGACACAGAATGCTCCGATAAGGATCTCTTTCTTTTTCCGTCTTGGTGCTGTGTCCCGTGCTTTTTTGACAAGGTTCGGTTAGCATTAGTATTAGATTACGCAAAATTTATAATAAATACATTTATAAATTCATTAGAGTAAGAAAATACTCAAATTGATGAGTTGACTATTCTAGTAAATTTAAGAACAAGTAAAGGAAATAATATTTTATTTACTGTACAAGAACAACTTCTACTTGCATACTAATGCTATACGATAATCAAATCTACTTAAGACTACCCAATATCTTATCTAATTATGGTTACGTGTAATTACCAATCTCTTTGACATGCTATGAGCTAAATTTTGTTTAGAATTCGTTCGAAATATCTCAAGAAAAAAATATAATAAGCGCTCTCTTAAATACCAATGGACAGTAAGCTTTATTTCAAATATCTGGGCTATTTACGTTGGGGGGAGGCTGAAAAGTTTGCATGTGACGACTCGAGATTGCAACAGTTTAAGCAAAATTGGAATAATCATAAAATGTGCATACTTTCATGTAACAAATGAAAAAAAGTAGAAGCAAAATTCTCCATTTCATTGTCGAGAAACCTTTTTTTTTGTAAAGCGTAGTAAAACAGCTGAAAAAAAATAAGCCGTAAAAACTAACATTGTCTACCAGCACAATTAGACGTTGGATTGTTACATTCAAAGACGAGTAAGAAAGAAATTAAAGAAAAGGCTTGTTATAGACGTCCTCGCGAAGAAGTGACATCAGAATAAATTGCCAATGTCAAGGGTCTTGTTTACAATAACCCCGCACATTTTTATAAAAATTTAGCCAGCGAAGATCCTGAAAAAAATCTCCTTTGTTTTGCATAGTGAGTGAGCCTCCAGAGAACAGACGTCATAACATGACAGAGTATCTTAATAACGGATGTTGAAACTTTCTCCCCACTTACCATACAGTCCGGACCATATTCCTTGTAATTTTTTTATTATTTTCTCGAATAAAGTAAGTTTGATAAGGTCGGAAATTTGGCAAAGGCCGTTCAGGCAGTTGCTGGAACCATACCAAAAGCCGACTATGAGAAGTCTTTCCAGAGTCGGCAGAATCCTCTGCAACGTTGCATGGATATTAATGAAGAGTATTTGAGGAAGTTAAATAGTCGAATCGATAATTATTATGAAATTTTCTGAAAATAAAGGCTTACGCGCAAAACTTTTCAGCTTTCCCCCTACGTTTTATGTACCTACAGTATATTGAGATAATTTTCGAGAATATATTAATTCTGTTATCTCCTCTAGTTTGTCTTTAAGTCGATCAACCGCATTGATATCGTGCACCATATTCTATTTTATTTCTATTTTAACCTTGACTCGTGTCGAACCTATCATCAACATTTCAATCATAAAGATATCCGGGCACCTTGTATGAGAAGTTTCATGATTTCCGATCGTTGCGTTATTAGAACATTTGTTATCATTAAAAATGCAACTTACGTAATCAAAGTTAAAATTTAAAGTAAATTGCACCATTCATAAATAACAATGGTGATTCACTTTCTTCTCATTGCTTTCTGCGCGCACTGTACATATCATTGGTGCTATTATTAATGTATTTTCCCGAGTCCTTTCTTTATCAGCCCACTTCTAATTACTTCTCATAAGTTAGTTTTTAGTGCCACCTTATGGTTCAATAATGCTAAAATTATTGATAAAACGCGTCTTTATTATCGATGTTTTATTGCATCGCATCAGTCGCACTAAGATTTGTTTTTTATTTAATTATTTATCTTTAGTAAGTAATAATCCATCTCCTAGTTAACCATTATAAGCGTTCGTTACGGCCATGGACTTGAAACACTGTCTATCAAACGGAACCTGCGTTTCATCTCAATCGGGAAATCACGTGATTGATTTAAGAAATGGGTCTCGTTTAGATTGTTCATATGGTGTGCTTGAAGGTAGTAAGCGCAAATATAATAGTCAATCGAATGAATAAAATGGGTAAGCCAAATCTGTAGCGTTCAGCAAGTTTAGTTATGTTCCATATTAATACAATTGTCATTGTGTCTATTTGTAACTTCATATTAATGATCACATGATGAGCATCTGACAACTAATCATTATAAAAATTCAACATATATTTACCAACCTCATATTTACTAGCAATATTTCCAAATGTCTGACGCCGAATTCGCAAATGTAGAGTCTAATGACGCCGCAGACAAAGACGCACACGCAACGACGGCGTCAGAAATAGGCTATTTGGATATGTCAAAAGATGTTAGTAAAGAAAGGCACTCAGATGACGCGATAGTTGATAGGAAAGAAGACATAATTCCGTCTCGACCGAGAATACGTTATACTCAAGAGCAACTACTGGCATTAAGCCACAGCCCACTAGTAAAAAGGCCAGATGCGTTGCCTCCCGTGAACTCTTGGTTTGGGTAAGGATTCTGGCATATGCAACGAAGTTAATCCAGTTTCTCAAAGCTTCAACTATGCAACTCATTATAACTAGCCTGGTTACTACCAAGATCTACTTCTAACAAAACTAATCAGCGTTGTTTCTTGTCAACTCAGCGAACACATCAAACGAGACAACAAGAAATTGACCGGAGATGGAATAGAGGGTGATAATAAAAGGTAGCCAAATGCATGCTTTAAACTCAGTGAAGACGTTGGGCCGAGTAGAGATTCTGATTTTCTGCGTCTTTTTATTTAGCAAAACTTATGGAGAGGGCTCGAGTAAATTGAAAGACGATGTGATAGGACTAGGGATTCCAAAGAGCCCTGCATCAAGTGTTTCGAAAAGTCCAAATGGTTCGGCACCAACTTCTCCGCGTCCTGCAGGTAAGCTTGACGTTCAACGTATTTCAGTTTATAGTATACGAGTGTGCGACTTCTTACTTTGTATTCTCAGTTCAAGAAAAGATTGTCTTAGGACCCCCGAAGATGAATTTTGCTTCAACTTCACTGGTAGGGCTGAAAGCTTCCGGGGAAAAGTTATCTACAAGATCAAACAGAACCGATGGATCGCGACGACAAGTGAGTACGTTAAGCCACTGTCTTTGCATCTGTTTATTTATTATACTAACTCCAATTTTGGCAGACAGATGATTTAATATACACGAAACCTTCCAATAAAGAATTTGAACCACGAGCACCGCGAGGTCCAACTGGCGGACGAGGGTTTGTTGGCAGGGAGGCTTTGCGTGAGCGAAATCTTGCCGAAAAGGCGTCTAAAGAAGTTAATACTTTTTCAAGTAATACAAACGGACGATTAACAGCAGGCGCAAGACCACATGAAACCACTAGAGGTAATAGGAAAGATGATGTTTCGAGTCATGTTGCGCCATGACTGTCGCACAAGTATTAATAATGTTGGAAAATCTTATGTCTTACCGTATACCTGCGTTTAGTTGGAATGGGCCATAAAGACAAAACGAGCAATTCGCGGCATCATAATTACCAAGAAGAGCGCTCGGAGACACCAGAATGGATGAATTATAATCCGCAAACGGACGAAACCATGAAGAAAGGAAAGAAGAATGATGATGACAATAAAGCATTTATTGATGATATTCAAGCATGGAAGCAGAAAATGAGAGAACAGGAAAAACATAAGCAGCGTGTGGAAAAGGATCGCAAGGATCCGAATGAAAGAAGTAGACCTCGTAGTATGTCTCGTGCTGATAGCAGCGTCTCATGGAGAGCGGATAGTAAACTCGTCGCAATAGAAGGGCATATGACGGCGACAGTCGGCACTTCAAATGACAAAGAGAATATCATAAAAGAAGATACAACGTTTGATATTGATGGTAATCATTTTCTTGTTTTCATGTCGTACGATGTTACTTGGGAAAACGACTTATTCTAATTTTCAATAGTGAAACCGTCAAAGAGCACGAGCAATGTGCCCAATGTTGACAGACTATTTGGCCTGGGTGGCTTAGATATTAACGCTCCTTTAGACCCCAATTCTTCAGCGTTTGATAATTTTCTTTCCCAACATAGACTTGCCATTGCTGAAGAGAATGTAGGGAAGACTAATAACGTTAAAGAGCTGGAGGGTCCATCTCGCGAACAAGAAACGTCACGATTTGCAAGGTTCTTTTCCCACAGCACGGATAAAGGTACTTCTAATATGGACAATGTTGACGAATCGAAGACAAACTCTATGCCGACACAAGCCACATCTACGTCTAACGATGTACCTAAATCGGGAGCATCGATAAAGTTTGAGACTTTGTTTCAAAATCAGACGACAACTAACCACTCTACCCCACTGTCGCCAAGGACAACTACTAATGATGGTAAACGTATGCTTTCAGAAGCAGAAGTACTGCAACGCCTTGGCGCCAGGCCTTCTTCGAAGTCTCATGATTTCGATGACACCAGTGTTGATGATGTCATGGGATTCAAGAAAATTCTTGCAGCTTTGGAAAAAGGCAATGTAAGCTCCTATTCACGTTGCTTTAACTTTTATTGGCGTCCTGAATAGTCAGATTTTTGTACTTTTGTGGAACAACTTAAAGTCTTACCGTTAAACCGTTTTGTAGAATGCGATGGAGTCACCCTCGAACTTTTCAGTACCCCCATCTGTTCACGCACTACCGGCTTATCAATCAGGATTAGCTCATCAAGGGCTTCCCTTTAATGACCCTTCTATTATCATTGCTCAGAAACCGGTCATGGGAAACAAGCCTCCTAAACTTGAAACGTCGAATAGAGGAATGATTATTCCTGACGCGAATCCATCAGATTCCGTCAAGAAGATTAATAATATGTTGCTTGGAGGGAATGTACCGACATCCGTTTATAGGCAGCTGAGCTCTAGGTCCGATAATGGTTCTAGGGAGTCATCTGGAGCCTCTTCGCCTGCCCTTAAATTTAATGCCGCGAAGCCTTTGGTGTCTAGTTTTTCACGTTCGCCGATTATACCTCAATCCCCGACGATCTCAGACTTCCATGGATCTGATTTCAAGGCTGCAGGGCCTCCAAGGTCGCCAGGTCTTCCGCAGGGTAATTTCAACCCATCCCCATACCACGGCATTCATCCTCCCTATTCTAATGGACCGAATATGTCGTTAGGACGTGACTATCCGCAACCGTCCCCACAACCTCCACCTCCGCCACAATTAGGGCGTAATATTCCAGTAGAGCAATTGTTTAACTTGGCACCACCACGGAACCCTCAACAACTTCAGTCTCAGTTTCAGCAAGCGTCCATTCCAGTATCACTGCATCCACCTTTTGGTTATCAGCAGCAGCAGCAGCAACAACAACAACAACAGCAACATCAACACCATCAACAGCAACATCAACACCATCAACAGCAACATCATCAATCACATCAATCACATCAACCACATCAACATCAACATCAGCATCATCAACAGCCACAGCACCCGCATCACCCGCATCACCCCCATCAACAACAATTCTCAGGACCTGCTATACCGCAACAGTTTGCTGTTCCTTCGCAACCTAATATACTGCACCCAGGCGCTGAAGCTTTATTTGCAAATATGCATGGATATACACACTTCATACCGAATATTGTCAATAGTACTTTAGGACCTAATTCTCTATCAGGTTAGCGTGCTTGCTATTTATCAGTTTCTCTTACAAGAGTAATATTCGACAACCTAATGAGGTGCATGACTATTTAGGAATGCCATCAAATACTGGTCTTCAACAACGTAGTATGATGACTTTGGAGGAGATTGAGAGGCGCGGACTCGGTGGTCGATAAGAACTCTTTTTACTAGGTTACGATTACTGTATTTTACGTCTGCTTTCAATCTGAACCTTTGTAATTATGACAATTTGCTTATATATACACATGCATCAATAATATTTTTTTTCTTTCATAATTAACGTTGTACCATCAGAGGGCGAGTGGCCTTGTGATTTCGTAAGAATTGTTGCATAGCATGAAAAGAAGTCTCTTTGTTGAAGGTACACAGTACTGCAAATTTACTCGTTTTTTCTTAATAATTGTATATCGTTTGCGTAATGTAGTAGAGCATATAAATGTAGTATAGCAAGTGTGGCGGAGTAGGGATGTTAAAACATTCTTAAAAAATGTAATGCTTTTCCAGGGAAGCCGCAATTAGATAATAGGGAGCTCTTCTCGTCTTAATCGCGTAATGCCTATTGAGAGAGAGATGTAAATAATATTTGGAATTTGATTGACCTACCTACATTTGTAGGACCAAGTGTGTGTAGTGCAAGTATTTATTATCTCATTAAGCTTTTCATTCTTGAAGTAACGCTCATTGCGTTTAAACATATCAATCCAGAAGGGAGACATATAATCAAATCGTTGAATTTTTGTATGGTTTTGTAACCAACGCCGACCCGGGTCTGAGACTTGCAGATAGGAATATCGTGTGAACATAAAAATTTTGGTGCACATTCTAATTACACTTTGGCTGCCCATTACTATTTATGAACTAAATGATAAAACTATACTGTCCTTAATTTTGTATAGACATCAATCGCTGAACATCGTCTAATAACTGGTTTTCTGACAAAGCTGATGATCATGATCCGTGATTACAAGGGTTTAATCAAAACGATGTTTGAGCATGAGTTGAATTATGAAAAGACAGCTAAGCACGCAACAAAAATCTCCAACTGTTGGCTCTGTTTGACGCAGACTAAACGATTACTAACAATAATCGTTGGCGGAGAGGAATTTCACGTTTAATTTAGGTTGGTATGTTGACACGTTATCACCCCGTCACTCGTAAGGTGGTAAGAGTCCAGGTCGTATCCGATTGGTTGATACTTTTCGTATTCCTTCTGTATCCATTTCAACTATGACAGATACCGTGAGAAGTGTCGCAAATCTGTTTATCTTTTTTTCTCTATTAAAATGAAGTGGATTGCTCAGACTCATATGAACCATATGTTGGCTTGGTCCAAATTAGTAGCTTTTGGGTCAAATCCTTCTGATGGTTAAAGTCCTATGACCACGAACAAGCTTGACCAAACAGTACATAAAGTATTTGGCAAGCATCGTGTATATTCATACATGTCGCGATCCACATGTGATGCCTGGAAAATCCGACTGTCAGAATGGGCATATTAATTGGTTTCTTGCTATTTGATTGGATCGCCATTTTATTTTTAATCCTCTCCATGTTCTTTTGACTTGTATTCATTTATGTTTGGTTGATAGTAACCCCAGCCAGTGGCAAATGGTTTAGGATTAAAGCAAAGGCAGTCATCGAGATGTGACTTCCACATTTCATTGCCAGCAGCTAAAATCAGAACATCAGGTGTGGGATACAATCTTAGTGTATAATCTAATGGCCAGTAAATATGTTTCATTTTTGTTGAGCAGGGAATTAAATGACATTGACGCAAAATTGTTTTTATCTTCTGAATAAACAAAATAGAATTGATAGGTAAATGTTTTGATTCGAAAACATGATACTTGCTGTGCTTACTTGCCTGCATTTTCAAACTCTCTTTGGTGATCTCTTTGGTTTTATGTAGAGGTACTGTCTGCAGCAACATTCGATCACCTTCGTGAAATATAACGATTTCTTTGGTAAAATATTTAAGCCTGTGTGACAACGATAACGTGTCAGGATATGCAAACACTAGTACAAGTGCGCGCGTACTAAACTTTCTAACCTGCAAGGATTGCTGACAAATGAAGCGTTGGAAACCATCGCTCTCAGTCTGTCAGTGAATATGTCGGGTATTTTTGGTTTTGGAAGCGATTCAGGACCCAAACTAGGATCGTTTGATCCTGGCACAAACACAAAATATGCATTTTGTGCCAAGTCGTGATATCGAGAGATTAAAACTCCAAGAGAGGTCATGTAATCTGCAGCATTACCATTGTTAACATGAATTAAAACGATAAGGGGCAGTTAGCATTTATACAATCCTGCTCACCTCTATAAGTTTTAGTGTTATGGTCTTCATACGAGAACTTCCATGAAATAAAATTTCCTATGAACACAAAAAATGGAAACACGCGCCCTTTCTGTGCCTCTGATTGGTATTTCTTGAACAGCATCGATAACTTTCGTAGTGTCTATTATTGTAGCGATGTTGATGAGGAAACACATTCGTTTTAATTGTCAGCAACATTGCATCGATACAAACCTTTGGATTGTCCAGTTCAACGTTAGATAATATCACGAACTGAGTCTGCATCAGTTTGGCTTCGTATGATTTTATAACGTCCTTTATAAGATATTTGTCATTTGATGAATTTCAAAAAATACGACACTAATAACATATATATACTAACCAAATCTCTTATTGGATGTTTAGGTGTCCAGTAGCCTTCATATCCGAACTCGTCCCTACAATGACGTAAAGCGTGTCATTATATGTAAAAACTTGTGTAGAAAGACATTAATAGTTGTTATACATAGATTACTTGGTGATTTCCCGTTTTTCATGAGGCGGACTGCGGACATCCTTTACCAGAAAAATTTCATCTTCATCGTTTTCAGAATAAGTTCCGTCAACAACAACGAAGGTATCCTCAAGCACAAATTCCATTTCTCCAGACTAAAAATAATTGCATCGGCATTAATTCTACAACATGTGTGATGGCTTAATCGGAATTTTGATAACGCACATACGGAGACAAATCCAATTCAATGCTACCGTCCATGTCATCAAGGAAAATTTTGTTCTCGTCCCCTATCATAGAAATTACCCCAAGCAATCTAAAGCTTCCGCCTATTCGACC